ATGTGTGGTACAATGCCACAGGTATCAGCTTCTGGCAATATGCTCGCATATACGAATTTCTATCGCTATGACTCAATGAGATTACGAAGTTCAGTCTCACCGCAAACCGTGGTACGCAAATATTTGCACTTGCACCCGGAGGGCAAAAACGGTATTTCAGCCACGGTGCAGAGCGCTTGGCTCTGGTCTCCACAGTCCGAGCCGCCGCACGCGCCAGGGACAAGGTGGGACCCAACCCGAGCGACGACCCTGCCCACAAACATAAGCGGGGGACCATCGAGGGTCTATTTCACCATTCAACACATTTACACGTACTCATGAAATTTAATCTGCCCAGCGCGAGGGAGGCCGCAGGATTCCACAGTTTTCCTGCGATAGCGTCTGAGCCATTAAACGCATGCTGCTTGAACATTGCAAAATATGCAGAAGATGTGTTGGAACCGTCCTGAACATTGTGTTGCAGAAAATACTTCCGCAGGGTACGCCTATCGAGGGATTTCCTTGCACTGATTTGTTGAATTTTAGCATGCTGCACGATATTGCATTCTGTCAGGTACAGGTGGTTCGGGTCATTCAAGGTGAAGCTAGTTCAAAAGCGTCAAGTAAAATTTCATTGCGCCAAACGAAAAATGTAATGACGTCATATCATACTTCGTGACGTGTGACGACGTTCACAACAAGCCTAAAGCAATTTGTAACGCCGGGATTTGCGCATAATCATTAACATATTGTTTTAGCACCCACGCCCACGACTGAAACCAATACAAAATACCTCATGACGGAACGGGACATGTGTATTGGGGTGTCCTTTACTTCGTGGATTCCTTCATGCATCATCGCTCTGTGGCGCGTTGTGTGTCAAGTAACAGCGACTTATCACGCTTCGTCTCATTGCTTTCAGCCCTTGCGTAACGCACGTGAAAGTATTGAGCACGAACACTAAGCGCGCGTAATCATCAAGGTGTGCAAAGATATCTGACGGCTTGTGCGCTCAAAAAGGCACGTTGCACGTTGCAAGAAGTGATCACACGGAGTGGAAGCCACTGCCGCTGCTGCCTCCGGTGAACGCTAGTTGAGGCAGGGCAGGAGGTAAAACATTATGTTTGTAAGTCACCGTTATTTTATGTTAAGCTCGCACCTGAATCTACTGTGTGTAAAAATGATCGTACCGTAGTGGCCCGCCACCTGGAATTCGAAGTTTTCGTTTGGGATTCGCAATTTTGACTAAGAGACTGCGATGTGGGGCTGCTTAAATTTCACGGTTTTTTTTTTGGTCTTCAAGAGAGCCCCAGGGCCTATTAAAATGCTGCCGTCATATCTCAAAGTCGGGGCCCTGTCTGAAACGTATCTGCAAGGCTTTATGTCGGCCATTGATCAGTTTTCGAAGTGCGTAGTCCCTTACGTGTGTGTATGCACTTCTGTACCCTATTTGAAGGACAGAAAGGGAGATACGGCGACGGTACGAGTGCTGGGAATGGGGACAGCGGTCCGGACGGGACAGCGGTCCGGACAGGACAGCGGTCCGGACAGGACAGCGGTCCGGACGGGACAGCGGTCCGGACGGGACAGCGGTCCGGACGGGACAGCGGTCCGGACGGGACAGCGGTCCGGACGGGACAGCGGTCCGGACAGGACAGCGGTCCGGACGGGACAGCGGTCCGGACGGGACAGCGGTCCGGACAGGACAGCGGTCCGGACGGGACAGCGGTCCGGACAGGACAGCGGCCTACTGCTCCCTACCGACTTTTCGAGCACTGGTGCGGCGTGGCCTTCGACAGACACCAGCCAAAAACATCCACAAAACGACAAAAAACGTGAGGATGCCAGACCGACGTCGGTCGAGCCGCGTCGGCGTCCGCGAGGGAGACACATCGCCGACAGAGCCGCGCCGGGGTCGGTGACGGAGAGAGGACGAGAGGAGAAAGGACGGGAGTGCATGATGCCGGCGGGAGTGACAGAAACAGATAGCAGAAGGGACATTTAACACAAGTTACGAAATCCTTCATGAGGCGAAGGATTGATCAAAAAATGGCCGATGAAACGACATAAACATGTTGAAGAACTAGTTGCTGAGACATGAACATAGACGAGGGATTGCTATTTCGTCCATGGCAGCCCAGTATGCATTTGTTTCGGATAATCTGGGATCCACTGCCAAATCGTGAAGAAATATCCTTGAGTACCACGGATCCTGTCCATAACTTTTGAGGACGTTCTGGAGATCCAGTGACTCCGTACCGCCCCTGTTTGTGCGTTCACTGGGAAACGGGTCTATTTTTGGAATTCAGGCGCGCTTCCGGTTAGTGACGGTGTTTTGCAACCCGCTTCGCTGACTCGTCGATCGAACATTGACAGTCCGGGCCGTGGCCTGGCTGCCTGCCGCTTGCCGCAACTCAGGCTTGCCGGCCGGGGCTGCTTGCCGCAACCCTGGCCGGCTGGGCGGGATGTGGTCAGCCGCGGACCGGATGTGGCCATCCACGGGCTGGATGTGGCCATCCGCGGGCTGGATGTGGCCAGCCGCACAGCAGGCCAGCCTGTTCTTCTCTTGAGATGTGCGCCAAACCTCACATCACGGGCGGTGGAGGAGGTGCTGCGTTAGTATCTTCCTGCAAAGGCGTTTCATGACTTTGTGCTTGGAAAACTTTGGATTACATGGGCTGGAGGGATTCGCGAGGTGTAGTAGAAAAGGAAAAGACCTCGTGCAAGTTCTGTCGGAACCACCCAGCAGATGTCAATGGCATCATCTTTCCATCATAAATGGCATCATCCGACGCTTGTCCTATATCGCCATCAGCCGGGCATCGCGTGGCTGTTCCCGAACTGAGCCTGTCAGCGCCACCGCACGCCCAGCTCCGGACTTTGTTAGCCTGGCATAAGGCGCCGGCGGCCGCCTCTGCGCCGCCGCCGCCGCCGCCACCTCTGCGCATCCCTCGCCGGCGTGTACTCCGCCACGGAGGCGGGACCGCGCTCAAGGTCAGCCGAGGCGGCGGCGGCGGCGGCGGCGGCGCGGCCCGTGCCTGTGAGTCCCTGCGCACTATCCCCCCCCCCCCCGCCACACGTTTTGCTTTCCACGCTCCTGCGTTCCAGCACCCCTCCCCGACACGTCTCGCTGGCTCCGCCTTTGCGTCTGCGTGCCGTCCGTGCGGCGGCGGCGGTGGCGGCGGCTCGGCTGGCACAGTGCGGCAGGCAGGCTGGCACAGTGCGGCAGGGGGCGTGTCACAACAGGGAATGGCCCTACCCACTGATCGATTCCCGCCGTCACGAAAGCCGACCGCGCGCGGCAGCGGCAAGCCTGCGATCGCGCCGCTTATGCCGCGAGGAGGCCCCGGGCGCGGCTGGTGGGCTAGCGGCTGGCGCCTGGCAGATGATGGTTGACGAGTGTGATGGCATTTATTACCCAACAACTCTCGACAGTCCTGTTTTGGAGACACTTGAAGCCAGCTTGTAGCGTTTCGCTTTTGAGCAGCTCATCCGCTCCGTGGGCTCCACGCTAGTGGCATCCAGCTTCTGTCGCCCACTGGACGCGGCTCACTCTTCCGCGGCGTGTGTCCCAGCCCGGCCAGTAAAAAGCCGGCGCTAGGTTTGGTTGACCGGCGCAGGCTACGGGGGTCAGGGTCAGGTACCTTAAACCAGCAGTAGCAGAACGCGCGGCGGAGGAGTACGGGGCGCCAGTTATACCCATTGTTGCCTCTCATGACTTAACCTTCGCTCTGATTAGAGCGGGGTCGATATCTCCCCCCCCCCCCCTAAGGTTTTCTGTGTGCATTTTGCCGGCATGTTGTTAAATCGCTCTCAAATTTTCGAAAACATATAGGAAGTTTGTTGCGAGTGTTTGGACACAAAAAGGTGTCTAGTTTTTTTCTGGTTCTGGCAGCGGCGTTTTTTACGAACAGTGGACGGCGATCCGTGGATGGCGCGGGGGGCGGGTGGCCACCGACGGATCCGCCGATCGCACGCGGCGGGCCGACATTGTTACATGCTCAAAGGCATACAAAATAAATACATGCCTGAAACACAAAGCCGCGGACAAATGTGCGCCGAGTTAGATCACGAATATTACTATGAAAGGTGCACGCCGCTACGTGGTGTAATGGCGTGAATATGGGCATGCAAAGACGAAAAAGTGTAATATTTGGGGAAAATTTACGTTTCATCTGGCATTATAGGGTCGACTATTGAGCACGTTACAACGATACCAACTGCGAGCTCCTGTGAGACCATTCCACTTTTTTGTTTTCGCGAGGCTCTATCGTTCTCAGTTCGGAAATGGGATGAGGTGGCATCCCGCCTATCAAATCGCGTTGTGAAAAGGGGAATCAGGGCAAGGGCTAACTCGTGAATGTGGGCTGCAGCGACCGGCCGGGGATGTTTCCGCAGCTTTTCAACGTTGCATACAATTAATGTCGCTGTAATTGGATCCGAAGCATGGACAGATGCGTCACAAGTGTTTCTGAAACCAATTACTGGAAACGTGGTGTACCATGTGTAAATTTTTCAGCTCCCCCAGCGTCCCTCGCCAAATTGCTGCGACGCTCCCCCCCCCCCCCCCCCCCCCCCCCCCCCACAGTGTCTTCTGTCAGAACGCTCCGCCGCCATCCCCCCGCACAACCCCCACCAGAGCGCTGCGCTTCCCCCACGTCCCTCGCGAGAGCGCTGTGCCCCCCCCCCCCCCCCTCCGCGTTCCCCGTCCGTGCGCTGTGCTTCCCACCTCCCCATCCACGGTGTCCCCCGACAAAGCGCTGCACCTCCTCCACGTCCCCCACCAGAACGCTGCTCCTCTCTCAACCCCACCCAAGGCGTCTTCCGCCAGAGCGCTGCGTTTCCCCCGCGAAGCGTACGCCTCCGGGCGAGTTGCTGAGTTAATGCTGATGCTCGGCACCCATCCCTGATGATCCGATCCCTGATGGTTCCACGCCTGATGATCTGAACCCTGATGATCCCATGCATGATGATCCGATCCTTGATGATCCCATGCCTGATGATCTGACGTGGTCCGGCAGGTGCTCTCTGCGCTGTCGATTGTCGGCTTCATCTGGAAGTTCGTGCAACTGAAGAGGATTCAGGACAACGTGATACAGCTGGTGGGACATGATGCCTTCGACAAGCACGTCTCGTAAGTGAGCTCAGCCACTGGCCGAGCCGGCGCTGTTTCTCAGCGCCCTCTGTGCCGGACTCGGTCCAGCGTGCAGCGCCGGTCGGACTCAGCTCAATCTTCAACACCACTAGCATGAGACTTGTGTTTCACCAAATCAGTTGGGGCTCAGACCGGTGGTTTATCGGCAAACCTTGCACAACTGGATATATGTATATGTGTGTGTGCGCATATATATACACATACAGCGGTCCCGCACTCGTCATCAGGCGCCCTGACACAATTCGTCCTGCGCGGATGTCCGTTCCATACAAAACTGCTGGGATACTGAGAAGCCGTGACAGGGAATTCGCCGACCATCTGCCAGGGGCTCCTCGCACGAGAGCCGGCGACGCGCGTGACGCTCAGCAGCCGCTCTGGCCCGCTCAGACGCCCGTGACGACTTCAGTGACCGCGTGACGCTCAGCAGCCGCTCTGGCCCGCTCAGACGCCCGTGACGACTTCAGTGACCGCGTGTCCGCCGCGCCGTCGGCGACGGCGGCCGTGGGCGGCGAGAGGAGCGCTGGGCTGTCAAAGACCTAATGTTACATGCTCCAAAGATGTGGACGGATCTGGTCGCCCCTGCCTTATTGTTACTGCCTCTGGTTGGATGTAATGTAAATGACCTTGGGGGCGGGGGTATTCGGTCATTTCAACTCGACGGGCATGGATAAGGAGGGCGTCTTCAAAGCCTTGAGCTACCGCACGATCTCAACAGGCATATTGCAGTCTACGATTTCGTCACCGTTATGGCTGAAGCCTGCCATGGCTGCTATTTCTGGAAATTGGAACCGTTGTCCGTATGCCCCTCCACCCCCACCCCACCAAATCCACCAACTTCACCCAGAGAAAATGGCGTTTGTCTGCGTCGTGAATCTGCTGCCTTGCTGCCCCAGCCTTGTTACACTGAGCTTTTGTCGCATTAGCACTGACACTGCTGCTATAGGTGATGTGTTTGTTTGCCGTCTTTCCGCAGCGAAAACTTTGAGTCGAGGCGCCATACGATGGGCGGCATGGTGGGTGTTTCAATTGTTTGTCTGCTGGTGGCCATCGCCCTCATCTTCGCCGTGAAGAAGGTGAGAGCTGAGGAGGGCGCCTGGGGACGTTACTATTTTGTGGCACATGTTACGATCGGTCTTGGATTGTCGCCATCGCTCGTCTTACGGTTGGAAATGTGTCCGTGTGCGGGATGTGGTGTCCGTGTGCGGGATGTGGTGTCCGTGTGCGGGATGTGGTGTCCGTGTGCGGGATGTGGTGTCCGTGTGCGGGATGTGGTGTCCGTGTGCGGGATGTGGTGTCCGTGTGCGGGATGTGTGAGGCGGCAGAGCTTGTGATGTCTGCAGAGCTTGCTAGCGGGTGTCCCTCCAGCTGCCGGCAGGCGTTACGTAGAACAGGGGGATCTGGGGCCGCTCGGCGCGCGGCAGTGTCGGCACCTGAGCTCCGGTGCTGCCAGTGCCGCGCTTCGAGCCTTCAGTCTGGCCAGCCTCAGGCGGACCCTTGACCACTTCGCCGTCAGGGACCAGGCTTGACGACACGTTTGAAGTCATAGTCATTTGCCTTACGCATTGGGAGCTTTTCTCAGTGCGGAAGCCGCAGTGGACTGACGTCTGCACTGAGCGCGCTGGCGAGATTCGAAGCCTGGCGCATTCTGTTGCATGGCGGTTGTGGGGTATAGCGATATTTAGAGGCTTGGTGTTGTATGCGAGTGTCGCGCAGCCGCCCCGCAGTCGCCTTCTCAACGTCTGTCTGACCCAACTTGAGGATCAGGCTTCCACAGCCGGTCAACCAGCTGTCGTGACCCGCGTTCTGTTCCGCAGAACAACCGGTTCCTGGCCCTGCCCTTCATGATCTGGTCGATTCTCTGCAACATCGCTGCGGGCATTCTCGCAGCCTGCCTGATCTTCTTCATAGCCGTAATCGATTGGGATAAGGCGGAGAGGGAAGGCCAAGTCAGTGATTTGGTGGAGGCCTTCGTCGTGCCACTTGTCTTCGTTGTCATCCAGTTCATCATCTACACCTGGTGGCTGGTCGTCGTGTTCGCCTTCTACCGCCTGCTGAAGACCGGACACGCGTTCGACAGCATTCCCATGCAGACCGCCTAGAAAGCGTCGCCATCAACGCGTGACGCGTGGACTGGCGACAACCACCCCCTACCGCCAGCACGCCGGCGCGCGCTTTCCGGGGCCTTCTGGGGCCATCGGCCCGCGCCGTCGTCACCTGGTGACTTCTCTGCACGCGCGCCATCCACCGTCGCTCGGCGGGTGGCGGCCTCGACCTCAACCCGGCCGTAGGCCTCCCTCGCCGGCTCCACTGCCACGACGCCGGAGGCTGCCAGGTGGCGCCCTGCGGACCGGCCCCTCTGCGGACCGGCCTCTCTGCGGACCGGCCCCTCTGCGGACCGGCCCCTCTGCGGACCGGCCTCTCTGCGGACAGGCCCCTCTGCGGACCGACCCCTCTGCGGACCGGCCCCTCTGCGGACCGGCCCCTCTGCGGACCGGCCTCTCTGCGGACCGGCCCCTCTGCGGACCGGCCTCTGCGGACCGGCCCCTCTGTGGACCGGCCCCCTGCGGACCGGCCCCCCTGCAGACCGGCCTACCTGCGGACCGGCCCCTCTGTGGACCGGCCCCCTGCGGACCGGCCCCCCTGCAGACCGGCCTACCTGCGGACCGGCCCCTCTGCAGACCGGCCTATCTGCGGACCGGTCTCTTTGCGGACCGACCCCTCTGCGGATCGGTCTCTTTGCGTACCGGCCCCTCTGCGGACCGGCCTCTCTGCGGACCGGTCTCTTTGCGGACCGGCCCCTCTGCGGACCGGCCCCTCTGCGGACCGGCCTCTCTGGGGACCGGCCTCTCTGTGGACCGGTCTCTCTGCGGACCGGCCTCTCTGCGGACCGGCCTCTGCGGACCGGCCGCTCTGCCGACCGGTGCCTGCTGGCCAGCCGTCGTGAGCCACTGGTTAGCCAGCTGGCTTGGCACGCTCTGTGTCGGTTGACGGCCCTCTCGTGTGCACAATTGGCCTGCTTGCGAGGTCGCCGCGTGTCGTGGGTTTTGTGTTGGTCCACTTGTCAGTTCTGCCGCGGCCTGCTTGTGGGTTCGCTACGCGTCTGTCGTGCGTCCCGGGTTATCCCCTGATTCGCTTGTCAGTCCTCTTGGCCTGCTTGTGGGTTCGCTGTGCGTCTGTCGTGCGTCCCGGGTTATCCCCTAATTCGCTTGTCAGTCCTCTTGGCCTGCTCGGGGTTTCGCTGTGCGCCTGCTGTGTGTCCGCGTCTGCAACGGTCTGTGTTCAGTCCGCTCGGCGTGTTGGCCGCTCCGCTGTGTGTTCGCTGTATGTTCGCCGCTGTGCGACGGTAGATGTCGGTCGGGCCCACGGAGGGTGCGGCTCGGCTGGCCACCGACGAGGTGTCGTGGCGTAGGTGGCGCTGTCGCCGCGGCTGCCGTTCGTAGGTGTTCGTTACTCAGGCACGTTATTGCTTCGCCTCGCTGTGAGATAGATCTGTCAGAGTTCTCAGCGGGGTGCACTGCTGCGCGCCGCCTTCGCCAACGCAGACCAGGGTCGTGACGCGGCGGGAAAGGACCAGCTGCAGTGTTTTGAACGGCCGAGCCGGGCCGAGCTGATCTGGCGCTGCACTCACCATGCAGGCAATGCCTTGCAGTGTGGAGATCCGGAGTTCAAATATTCACAGCATTCGCCGCCTCGGCACGCCACTATTGTCCCGCGCTTGTAGTAACTGCGTGCCTTAGGCGGTGTGTTTTCTCTCGCGCCAAGCGCGTATCGGCCATTTCTCGCAGCTCCTGCCCTCCTGCGGCTCATGTGCTTGACAAACGGATGTTTTAAATCACTCATGCGCGGTGCCGTGTCAAGAGCTGCGCTGCTGACAGACAGCTGGGTGGCGATCGTTTTGTAGCACATCAGCGGTGAGCTTCTTGCAGCGCCTGTGGACTAGGTGGCGCGCTTGGCCAGTACTGACCCGCAAGGGCGCTAAAGTTCGCGGCAGTTGTGACAGTGCAGCGACACTGCGCTTGCCGTAGCCATACAAGTCCTGCATGTTTGTCTGGCACCAGTCGCCGTTCCATACTGGCACGCTGGCTGGTGGCGCGAGGCAGGTCGAGCCGGCCAGCGGCCCCTCCGGGGTCGCCCTCACTGCCTGTCAAGGCCGCCCGCCGCCGGCAGCTGGCGTCCCAGCACGCACGGAGCGAAAGGCCGCGCCTCACACGTGCCTTGTTCTCTACCGCGCCGGGACCACCTGGAGCCACACCCCAGTCAGTACCTACGTTTTTATCGACTTGACGTATGTGGAAATACACTCGACAATAGTGCGCTTATTCAGCGTTTGACTGCACCAGCCCTGAACGTTTGACTGCACCAGCCCTGAACGTTTGACTGCGCCAGCCCTGAACGTTTGACTGCACCAGCCCTGAAAACACATGGCTGGATGACAAATATACGGCGTCCAAGGCGGAAGAATCACGGCTCGTCGCGGACACGTTTCGATCTCGCACGCTCGTATGGTTTTGATCTCGCACGCTCGGTATGGTTTCGATCTCGCACGCTCGTATGGGTTTGACTCGCAACGCCCAGTTCGCCAAGAACGCTCTCATTCTCACCGCCGGCACAGCGTGACAGGCCACGGGCGAAGCTTCGGCCTCTGATCAGTCCGAGCAAGTGGTCTGAGGTCGCTGACCACAGGTCAGCTCCAGTCAGGACTGGCCTGGGGGCCGTGGCGTCGGCACCACCTGGTCTGAGAGTGATAACGGTCCCGCTCCGACGATACGGTCCCACCCCGACCCTGTCTCCGACGCATGTGCAATACGACCGAGGCATGCATTCTGCAATACTCTTGCAATTTGGTGTCACACTTATCACTTTGCATGCAAAGAACGGACCTAAAAATATACTCTGTCGCTGCCGCCAGGCGGCACTCGGTCAAGAGTCCGAGACGAACCTGTTTCCCCCATCGAGTGACTTTCCAATCCCTTAGGAACTGAGTCGTAAGGCTTGGCGGCGGCGCAAGTTCCGGAGTCAACTGGACGACTCTTGTCGAGTAGGCTGATTGGGCGTAAATCGCTGGACATCGTCACGAACACCATAGGCGTCATTTCTTCGGTGGGTTAACATGCCCGCGGAGGTGCATGCCCGATAGATGATATGCGTCACTCGAAACAGCGTTTCAGCGCCTTCATGAAGCGCAAATAAACAGCACAATTCCACAATCATGCCATCCACAGAAGAACGGCGCGTTACTCACAGAACCTTGGTCCAGGTGTCTTCTCCGAAGTCTTGGATCATCCACGACCGAAGGCACGCTTGTATCAGTCCGTACTGCAGCGTGGTCAGAGGCTTTAGTCGATACGGGGCGCCGTGTGAACTAGTCAGCTGTTGTGTGGCATATTTAAACGATATAAATGCCTCCAGATTGTCCAGGGACATTCATTATTCTAGGCTGCTTGAAGGGAGCGAACATTTGACCGCATTTCCTTCATATATGTTGCCCCAAACCCCTTCCATTCGACCACTAACAGCATAAATACATACATGTATATATATATATATATATATATATATATATATACATATATATATATATATATATATATGTGAAATAACGCGTTTGGGCCAACGAGCAGCAGAGCGAGAGAAACATTGTGAACGCGGGGATCATAAACATGCGTGCAGATTTGGGCGCCATTTAGACTGCAATGCCAGTTAGCCGGAAAAACGCTCATAGATTATCCACTTAGACAGTTGTCTAAGTTAAACTTTGGTGGATGGGATAAACTGAGTTAATTTGCGTAGAAAACTATATCAAACTAAATGCATGCACGACTTTACAGAAATGCATTTCATTAAATAGTACATAATAAAAGCATGGATACAAATGAATGCAAGAGCTTAGTCACGCATGCAACTAAGCGACTTCTGTAAGCACGAGAAGCCCACCAGTGTTATTGTGTGAGCAGTTTTGGCGGTTTTTACGTAAACATAACTCAGTGATGGCACACCGCGCGAGCAGTTTTGACGTAGAACGCTGCCATAAGAGGTCTAGCAATATTGCCGGACCTCTTTTGTCGCAATTTTGTAAAGGCTATAACGGCGCCTCACACCGACAATGGCCTCTTTGTTTGACAGGGGCATCTGGAAATTCTGGCAGTGACGCCTACGCTGTGTAAAAGCTTTAACAGCAGATTTTTGTCAGTGGAAGCATTGCATCGCAGATGTCATGCCAGTAGCACTTCGTGCGGCGGAAGTGTTGGGTAGACGCGTTGTCGATGTCGATGTCGATGTCGTTGTCGTTGTCGTTGTCGTTGTCGTTGTCGTTCTCAATGTCGATGTCGATATCTATATCGATGTCGATGTCGATGTCGTTGGCGTTGGCGTTGGCGTTGAGAGGGTTTGCTCGTGGAATTTCTTTCGTGAAGGAGTTCTGTTCGTAGATATTTGGCGTGGAATATTTGGAAGGAGACGTTTTGTTCGTAGACATACGGCCATGTGAAAGTTTTGTCTGCAGCAGTTTTACACCGCAGTACATTTCTCAAATAGTATTTTTTCCCGTGGAGTTTGTGTATTGTGAAAGTTTTGACGGCTAACGTTTTGTGTGTGGAGGCACTACCGTGTGAAGGTTTTGGTCTGTGGCAACTCTGTCGTGCAACAAAAATGCCGTGTTAGAGTCCTATTAGCGGAAGTTTTGTCACCAAGAGTTCAGTCTGTTGCAGCTCTGACCGAGACATCGGGTGAAACCGTGCCGGAGCGGTTCTGTCGGTAGAACACTGTATTCCAGTAGTCGTGACGTGCCGCCCTTCAAACACCGTGCGTGTTCCTGCTGTTTAGCAGCCATTTGGGGAAGCGGCAGCGCCACGATTTGGTTGATTGGTTGATTTATCTGACTGACTGAGATATCTACGGTGATACCGCAAAAGATCACCAACCACCGGCTTTACGCGATGGCAATATGTAGCGCATAACCAGCGCGAGAGGTTGCTGCTGAACTGTGTCCACCGCAAAGACTCGCGACCTCTCGGCGCCCCACGGACCCCAGCAGCGTCTGGTCAGCGCCGTTGACTTCAGGTTAGTCTTACCATTGTCAGAGTGCAGTCGGGCCGGCCAGGGAGTGGCGCATGAGCGGAACGACGGCGCGGGGACCGTCGCCGTACCGTGTACCAGCCTGCTCTCAGCACACGTCACGCTTGCTCCACACCGCCTGTAAGCAGAGGTCATGTTCGTAATGTGAACAGGAGACAGGGCGGGAACAGGTATTGTGGCCGGCGAGGCTGAGTCAGTCGGCGCGGGCCTCTCAGTGTTATCGACGCTAGACATTTTTTCCGACAACTTTGACGCCGCTGGGCCAGTTAATGTTTATTAGCTGAATGGTCTGGTCTTGAGCCCGTGGCACGCCCATATATGTTCATATTTACGCCCAAAAAAACTGCACATCCTATCCAAAAGAAATG